TGAACAACTATCTGTTATTGTTTTGTTGTTTTTTGATGGTAACATACTGATACATTGCTATACTGTTTTCCTTGATGTCATATAGTATACAGTACATGCATATTTTTAAATCTACATTTAAGGTGTAAATTCAATCATGTCACACTCATGACAATCTGAAAATAATTAGATAATAATATAATATTTTAATACAATAAATAAAGGAGCAATTTTACTAGGAGGCAATGTAAGTTTGTAGAAGAAAATGTAAATGAAATGAAATTAAATTGAACTAAATTAAATTAAATCCTTTGACATTTTAGCAACGTATAATTTGGGATGGCAGAAATTGTATTGAAGATTGCCCTTGAACAAAATGCTTTGAAAACCAGTCTGAATATTTTAAATAATTCTTCAGAAGCATAATAAACAAATACAATACAATCAAATCATTAAATGTTTTTTTTTCCTTTTTAATATAATTGTATCACACACAAGTGCTAAATGCATCAAAATAAACTTATACTGCACTCAAAATCTTTCTTGAGTAATGGATTTAATCTGTTTTTCAGTCATGGTGTGAAATACATGTGGAATAAAGGTTCATTGTAAACCGCGATATTCAATAAACTGCAACACAAATTAAGTGAAGGAACTGCCCATGTTAAGGTCATGTTGAAGACAGATGCTACTGTGTTCTGCCCAGCTGGAGGAAGTCTTTGATCAGTCAAGATTTCAACAGTGAGGCTCAAAGAAACTCACTCAATATGTGATTGTCCATCTAATCTAGAAAAGGCTGTTTATGTACGAAACGGCAAATTGGATTTTCTAAAACTAATTTGATGGTTTTGCGATTTGTTAAGCAGAATAGACTTTTTCTATTCTCTCAACATCTTTCTCAGGCTGTTTTCCTTTTTCATTAAAGAGAAATACTTGTAGAACTTGTAGCCACAAATTATATTCAAGGCAATACCTTTATCAATGGTGTTAGAACAGCATGGTGTTTGTAGAGGGTCTGTTTCAGTCTTCTTAAGTACAGGCATTATAAAAATATCACTTTATTAACCTTTTACAATTTCTTACATTAGGAATTATCTTCCCACATACCCTAGCTTGCTCTCCATGACACACACAGACAGGGAGAGAGCCTGGGGTCAGAGCACAGGGTCTGCCATTGTACAGCAACCCTAGAAGTTGGGGTTAAGGGCCTTGCTCTGGAGTCCAACAGAGTAGGATTCCACTGCCAGCTGTGGGATTTGAACCAGCAACCTTCCAGCCACAGGGACAGATCCTTAGCCACAGAGCCACTGCTCCACCCTTTGAGCCTATGAGCCATTTCATAACTTAAACCAACATTTTATGGCAGATTACCAAATAACATTATTGTTAATGCAAGTGTAGTTTCAGTAGAATTCCAAATTAAACAGCCATGTGTTCTTACATAAAATTGTTATCAGAGCATTTTGTAATTTTGTTATTAGCACTTTATGAAAATGTCATTGGAGAGCTACCTTTACCTACAAATGGAAATTAATTATTACCAAGTGACTTTGTCTGCACTTTTCCAACTGGGAAGAAAATACATATCCTATCAAAAGGGGCAACTGTTTCATGGGACAAACTGACAAAATTCACCTAAAAACTAAAGCATTGTTGTTTTGTCTCTGTGAATGGTTTATGAATGTTGTTGTCTTTCTGTGCAGAATTTTAAAATAATTTGAATGGGACCCCATATGACTCGAATACAGTGTGTACAATATATCTGTCTGACTGAATGTTTATATGCAAATATTCTGTGAGTAAAATGAGATTTTCTGAAAAGAGCGCTTGCTAATTTAAAAAAGGCAAAATATGAAAAGGGGGTGAAACTTTTATTATGCTGCTGTGTAACACAATTACAAATTTTGTGCACAAGATTTAGCAGTTGTGGTCTGTGGAATTCCATTCCTGACACAGCCTCTATAAGAGACAGTGCAGGGGAAACGTGTTTACTAGGGTCAGTCAAGGATAGCCCACATGTGCTCAGCAGAGATATGGCCAGAAATTGCACAGGGCATGGCAACGTCTGATGTTATGCAAGTACAGTGTCTTGCAAAAGTTCAAAAGGTTTCCCATAGAAAGGGATGCAGACTAATTTTTTAACATAAAATTTCATTAAATACCTGAAGGATCAAGCTGAAGACTATGAAGTGCAGAATAAGACAGCTTACAGTAAATGTCAGCAAAAATGAAAAAGTTTAAGTTGAAATACATTGATTGCAGGGCAGCACAGTGGCACAGTGGTTGATTACTGCCTTACAGTGCCGGGGCACCGGGTTTAATTCCACAACTGTACCTGCATGTACCTGCAACCCATACGTTCTCCCTGTGTTTGTATGGGTTGTATCTTGGGATTCTGGTTTCCTCCCACATTCCAAAAATATACTGGTTGGTTAATTGGCTTCTAGGAAAGTTGAACTAAGTGTCAGTGTGAGTGGGTCTGTGTTTGTGTCTGCCCTGCAATGGACTGACATCCCATCTAGGGTGTACCCTGCCTAGCATGTGTTGCTTGGTAAGACAGGCTCTGGCTCTTCCATGGTAGCATAAGTATTCATACCTGTGAACTCAATATTTGGTAGACACACTTTTTTATAGCAATTACAGCCAGGTCCTTAGATATCTTTGCGCACAGGCTTGGTTCAGTTTTTGCTGATTTTTCTTGGCAGATTGGCTCTCAGGTTGTTTAAGGATCACACGTATCAGGTCTTTCCACAGGTTCTCAGTGGGATTCAAGTCAGGACTTTGACAGTGCCACTGACAACATTCACTTTCTGATTCTTAAACCTCTCCACTGTAGTTTTGGCCTTGTGCTGTCCTGCAGTCATCTGGTTATTATCCTGCTGAATGGTGAATTTTAGTCCCAATTTTGTTTTAAAGCAGATTTTTCTCACGTTTTGCCAATACCATGTTCCATCTATGTTCCCATCAAATCTTTGACAAAGAGGACTCAGAAGTAAAGGTAGCCCCCAGTGAAGCTGAACTATAACAGTATGCTACCTCCACCATGCTTAACAGTAGGGATGATGCTAACTGAATGATGACATTGGATTTGCATTTAGACCAAAAGATCAAAGCTGTCTTACAATAACCACCCTAACCATTGTCTCTTTCCACAGCTGCTCAGTTTGGAGGACCAGCCTGATCCAGGCAGTGTCTGGATTCCTTCTTTTTCTTAAGGATTGACTTTACTGTGCTCAAAGTAATATTACAAAATATGAGGTGTAGTTTTCAGGGAGGTGGAGCTTCACGTCAGAGAAGTGTGTTGCTAAGTGCTGTATCACCGAAATGTTAGCACTGTTTGGCAAGATGCTGTTCAGCTGCCCCATGTATCCATGAGATTTTACCTTGGGGGTTTGGGTAGGAGGGGTAGGGCAGAATATTATAAAGAGTTTGAATTTATAACAACACATTCTCAAAAGTTTCTCTTTTGATTTCTCTGTGCATTTTTAATATTTCAGTATCTGTTGAAAATATGGACTTGTAATCTATGCTGCAGCATTATATTTCAACAAGCTTTTTAATGATCTTATAGAAAGGTTAAATGCCTAGTAATTATATATAGGGTATATAGGTATAATGAACTTGTTTTGTAGATATTGATGCCTCTTTTTATTTTTGAACATTAGGTGTGGTATCCACAAAAAAAAAGGTAGGCTATACAAAAACAGTTACTAGTGAGTTTTTATTTATCTTTTATTTCCTGTATACTTTGGAAAATTCATGCCTGGCATGTATGCTAGAAATAGCATCATTAACAAAGTTTAAAGAAACAGTACCTTCTCTTCTTCTATATTATTCCTTTGACAACTGGGCACCAGCATTGTCGAGTGGGAAGAAATTATTCTTTGGTATTATTCTTTGTATAGAAGAAACATCAAATGCTTAAATGCTGCTATGGTAATTGGTAAATAGAATTCAATTAATCTCATGAATCTTACAAAACCAAAGCCACCTTCGTAAGACAAATACATGTTTTTCCACACCTGCCCTGAGAAAAAGGATAGGACTGATACCGGACATCTTAGTAGGAAATGTCCCTACTAAGTCAATTGTTCATGAATTTATACTTTTTGTGGACTAAAAAAATTTAGAAAACATTTAAATGTTTTGCCTGTACGCACGTCCTGTTTGTCAGAGTTGTGTTTATTTTTATGCCAAGGTCAGTAAATCTGAATATTTCTTTTAAAAGGGGATGCTAAGATCTCTTCGCAGTTGTTAGGATTCCAAGAACGTTGAAGCAGTTGCTATGACGATGTTAAAATTTCTGCATTGGTATGGAGTTTCTAGTAGCATAAAAACTGAAAGGACCCAGAGGTCCTGCATATCTCAGGTATCAGATTGCCACTGATGGGTCTCAGGGGTTTGACATTTCTGTACTGTGTGGTTCATTGGCATTTCATTTATTTCCACTTTGATAAATTCCCACTCCTTTTTAAAATCTTTTTAGCATGCAGAACCGATCGGTGCTCTGCAAGCCAAAACCTCCTTGTAGGACACGACAAAAGACTAACCCATTTTAATGTTGGTTTTGAAAAATAACAATCTGAGAATTCCCAACGGTACAGCATGATCGGAGCAGTGCATAACCACAAGGTTGAGTGCTGCTTGACCAGACGTGCAACTAACAGACCAGCATCAGGGGATTTATGTTGCTCCACTGTCAGGAGAAGAGGTAACAAACAATAAGGGAATTGGGGAGGAAAGGCCTCCAATGTTACCTGGATTTCAAACTTAATAACTTTGATACTTAGCACTGCTGTTCTCTGAAAAATAATCCCCACGAGCGTTAGTTTGCAAATGAAAGTTCTAGGCCTTGGAAGCACTAGCTCAAGTCTGTCATGCTGAACAGTCCTCTCAGCTACTTTTTAGGAATAGGGTTGCCATGGGGTCATGTGATGCAGATCTGTGTGAAAGCCCACCCCCTCTGCTCCCTGCCCTAGACCGTGTTGGGATAAGCCGAGTGACTGATTGAGAGTGGTGGAGGGGGGGGAACGCAGGCGCATTGAGGCGCAGAGGGTAATATTAGACAGATCCAGAGCTCTCCCTCTACCAGCTGCACAGCAGTAAACATTTCAGTGCAAATGACTGGAAAAGACAGGGGAGCCTCTGTAAGCTGCAGAGCAGGAATATGAGAGTCAAACCACTATCAGTCCGGAGCTTTTTTCTCTTTCATAAGAAGACCATCAGTAACCAAAGAGGTGGGCCCACAGTGCTCTGAGCTTTACACAGGCATCTTTTCAGCTGGCTTGGCAACACAGTTTCTTCAGTATAAAAGAATGCAGACTGTATCAGCGGCAGTTTCTTGAACATCAGCTCTGCGGGTGTGGGTGAGACGTTCTTTGGGGAGAAGAAACCAGAGCCGTTCCCCAGCACCGGGGATTAAATCAAGGGGCACTACTTTGTGTTCTACGCGTGTGGAGGGCCGTTGTCCAGGGCAGACAAGGGGAGCCGCGATGGCCACAGGAGAGATCACCACTCTTCCCCCTGCACCTGAAGATGGTAGCAGCGGCACGTTCCCTCCTGGAAACTTCAAGGAGCCCAAAAGGCTGTACTGTAAAAATGGGGGCTATTTCTTGAGGATCAACTCGGATGGAAGAATAGATGGGATCCGGGAAAAAAATGATCCTCACAGTAAGTTGTGGAAAATTACATTTCCATACTTTCATTCTGGCCAGTAAGCAGGGAAAAAAACAACAAAGCCTCTTTATATATTTAGGTACAGCAGAGCTGCAATAGGGAAATAAAGTTTTACTCTTCTGAAAGCCTCACAAAGATAAAAATTGTGTCTTCTTAATGGGAAATATTGTAATTGTCATTATTTTTTTAAACGTTTTAAATAATATCATAGTATGAATTGCACTTTGACTTTCTAGTTTGAATCTCATGTGTCCTTCTAGGCAAAGTAATCAGTGCTGCGTGACTGAAAAACGTCATATTCCGTCATTAAGTGGACCTGCGATTATTTTTCTAAAAGAATAGTTTTGGGGGAATATGATTACATTTAATGCCTTATATAGTGACGTTTTATATCAATTAAATACTGTTAGAGAAAAATCCTTTCTGTTTTTGCTTGTGGAGTTTAAGCAGATAGGAGGCCTTACCAGTACTATTTAAATTGCAATTGGGACTGGCATTAAAATAAATAATAATGAACAACACTAATGTTTGTTCGTTTTTCTTAAATGTTAATGACAGGGTAAAATTAAGGCAGCTGTTGCAGATTCTTCTAGGCTTGCTTACATTTTTTCAGTGCTACGCAATCTTTTAAATCACTGGTACTAGTAGTAGTGTATTTGATATATGTAGAAACTTTTAGAATCAATACATGGATCTGTGGAACATTTTTAAATTAAATTTGAGCACATTACTAAGTATTTTCCCTTGATTCTACTATAACCTTATAATGCAGAACACCTTCAGTATGCCCACATATGCCCACGTTAGTTTCAAATGTATCTTTAATTGAAAATCTGTAAATTATGACACTGATGATATGCGTGTAAGCCAAACCATTCACACAGGTGAATGTTCCTGAACATTTTTTATTTCTTATATGTAATTGGTAGGATTATGTAATATTAGTAACATTGATAATGAGGGGAAAGTTAGTCTCTCCAGTTTTACTAGGAAAAGCATTTAACTGGTATGATGAAACACTTTGCAAAGAACAATAACATGTTAATGACAGTAAAACAGTTAAAATTAATTTATACATTTCTCGTATTTTTTTGGGAATGTCTACTTATCTTCTTCAGTGTATTCTTTCTTTTCAATTTATTGTATGATGTTTTGTGATGAGTTAGTAAGGATGACTATTAGTTCCTTAGAAAAAAATCAGATTGGTTTCAGAATCGGATGTCTTTTTTAAAGTGAGCTGTATTTGTTTTGCCTAGCATTTTGGACCGTAGAACAATTTGAAAGTGAAATTGTTACACCATGAGGGAATAATCTGCATTGGTTTTTTTACAGTTGTTTTCAAAGTTTTATTAGCCAGTTTAAATCACATATAACCTATTAAAAATATATACACATAAAGAACAGCCAAATGAAATAATTTACTCAGTTATTCATTTTATATAATAGCTTTAAAATTAAACTTTTAAAATTTTATGTTTATTTTTACTTCTTGCTTTGTAGCTCAGTTTGCGATCAATACTATTAAATTGAGGATCATCATGTGTACACTGAAGTAACACTGCATGTAATCCATGCTTTATTACAGGAAACACTTAATGTCCATATTTTGAGAAAACATTCAGTTAATGTCCTATTATGTCAAATGTAGTTTGAATAACATTTCTGCTCATTTAAAATAAATATACTATTTAATATATACAGTAATTCTTAGCAAAAATGTATCTATCCTCAGTATTTGATCACTTTTTCATGAATCTATACTCAACACACTGTAGGCAGTAAGTAAATGTAAAGACATTTTAGGCATTTAGGTAATTTCTAATATGGATGCAATCACTAAATACCGAACGACTTACATCATGCTGCCGAGGATTATGTTGGTGATGCATCATTTAATTAGCATTAAAAATGACTGTTGTATCATTTGTGAAATTTGTTATTATGTTTCCATAAGCCTTAAATTGCTTACTTGTGTTTGTGTTGTTTTAAAAACATATGACATAGATGGATAGATGGAATTTAATTCTAAATTGTGTGGCATATGGATGTAATTTTTTCAATCGAAGAGAGAGGGAAGGGCTTAAGGAAGTTTAAGCCAGTTTAGCAGTTTAAGCAAGTTTGCTGCTATTGATCTGTACTGTATATGCTATAGTGAGCTAGTGAGCAATTCCAAATACCAATTTGGCATTTTTCCTAAGAAAATACTGTACCTGAAATATCCCAGACTGGATTTGAAATGTACTAACCAGTATTTAATTTAGCACGCTTCCTTAAAGTGATGTTAATTTGATGTATTTCTTTGATAATTTCTCAATAAAAAATGTAGGATACCCACTTGCCTTACCTGTTATTTACATTCTGTGTAAGATTAAATATATTATAAATGTATCTGCACCCAAATGCAAATCGTAATATTACTAATACCACTGATTATTTGAATTCTATTAAATATTGAGCATAGAATTCCAGTCCAGTAATACTCTAAGTCCATCGGAAGCCTCCCATCAACTTGTTTACCCTGTTTCTGTCTACAAAGATGTTGATAGATGGTCAAATTATGATCTCCCAGAAACTCTCCCATAATTAGCTTTGAGCTTTTTTACAGAACTAATACTACTCTTGGATGTATCTCACATTGTCGTGAACATTAAACACCTGCTCATACTGCAATCTGGACTTCCTTCCTAAATCTAATCAATGATACCTACCCTACAAATCATTTACTGCCAGATTTATGTTGTTTTCACTCTGATTTGCATTTTAAAGGCATTGTACATCTAACACATGGCTGTCTTGCTGTTATTTTGTGAGTTCGATTTTTACATGTTTTTCTGCTACATTTGAATAATTCCTTTTTGCATTTACGCTTTGTATTATTGTATATTAAGTCACCCTGGATAAAGGCATCTACTGAGGAAACAACAGCAAGAGTAATAATGTTAATACTAATGGAAATCACATCCTCTTCAGCTCTGAACGCAAATTTATCAATGTGCCCCAAACAGATAATTGAATTCAATTAGCCTGTAATTAAGACTTCAGCTAGAGCAAAAACCAGAAGACTCAGTTTCCCCTCAGGATTAGGGTTTGGAAAATCTGCTGTAAATGATAGCACTGGACACTGTAGTGGTTAGTCAAAGCATGGAGGAAGCAATTCACTTTGAACAGAGAACAAATAGCACTTGGAAAGTATTGCCAGATGTTTCATGTAATAGCATGCAAGACAGCCTATTGAAAAGCGATGGGCTTGTAAATCAGTGTCAAATACTATGTATTCGAACAAAAGCAGTTACATTAATAGAAATTATCTTATTATTTTGTTGTTTTAAAAAAACATTTAGATTCTTTTCAGGTGCGAATGATTTCTAATTCTTCGGCATTGTTACACCCTGGTGAAAGCTAAGAAATTAAGTGGAGATAGATAGGGGTTGTTTATTTTTTCAGGCACAGAGACCACAGACAGTGAGGGATTTATTTCAAGAGCCTAGCTGTAAATATACAGACACATTCACCAACAAACACACTGATGCATTCATTAATACGTTTGTGTTTACATTTTAGAAACAGTCAATGTTTGAGCATTAGCAGAACCAACCAAATGCAATTATTAAACTATATAATCAAAAAAGTAATCAAATTAATTAATGAACAGAAGCAACCAAGGAAACCTCCTAGCTGTTAATTACATTGCACATTCTAAGTCATTAGAATTAATGAACATTGTTTCTAAGCCATTATAAAACTAAAAAAAGGACACTTCAGCATGGAGAACTGCAATAAGAAACGTGTGGTATTTTTCTAGAAGTGTAGAGTTCATCTGTTCTCCTAACAGGAAATTTAAATGTTATCATTTAAAGAATTTAGAAAAAGTTAAGAGATTGCAGATGAATAGACTTGAATGATCTCAACAGCATTGTCCCTTTCATGCACATTCTTTGGGAGATTGAATTATTGTTGCTCTTAATGTTAAAATCTACCCTGAACTTGAGGGTAAAGGTTAGAGATTTGGGAACAGAAATTTAATTACCAGCATTATTTAATTGTAATTTTATTTTGTCAATATTATATGCCTGTGTGTTTTTCTACAGAACTAATGTTTGAATTATTATTTGCCACATCCTACCTTTTCCAAAATTTTGATTCTGATGCTGATGGAAATAAAATATGCAATAAACATATTTATTGTTGAAAATGGGCTACAAACCCCCTTAAATGCATTAGGATCTGGCAATTGATTTACAATCATAACCTCTGAAGTGAATACAACTTTCTTCGTCTAATTCCAGTAAGTCAAAATAAATGATTACAAATACCAATATACAGTAAATGCAGAATATGGTAGATCCACAGGATAACCATTATTTTTCAGTTTTTAGTATCTGGTCATTTGAAATGTGGTAGAAATACCAAGAAAAACCTTGTGTTTAAGCCACTGAATGAAAAGAAACCCAGGGTTACTAACCTCATAACGGAACTTGTCCTGGATCAAACCTCCTGTTTATTTTGTCACTGGAGGAGAAAAAGTATTTTTTGTTGACCAAGACCACATCAAAGAACTGTGACATACAGATGGAGCACAGTCCTCTACTGCAGAATATTCAGTACAGTAATTTGTACCCTTGCCTATGTCAACAGGTGAATATTTCTCACAATTGTACTTTGACAGGGTTTTGTCCCTACGAAACAACACCCTTAAAAGGATATGTTAATGCATCTTAGCAGGTATAATGCTAATTTATATCATAGCCTAAGATTTTAATGAACATTTACTAAAATGTATTTTTTTGATTTTGTAGACCAAGCAAGAACTGGCAACAGTGTACTGTTCTATACTCTATTACCTATAAAGTTCCCTGATTTTATTAAATTCTGTTACTGAATATAATGTGCCTGTTTTAACTACAGCAAATTAATTCAACTTTTCATAAAATTTCAAAACAATTTCATAATTTAATTAAATTTAAAATCGTTATTAAGAAAATGTGTGAATATAC